GCAGGAGAAGAGGCACAGCAGGGACTTGCCAACAACTTTAGCCTGACATATGTCTCCCTCTGCTTTTGTGCACACCTGACATGGTGCAAACTAATTACTCCGTGTTTATCTCCAGGTAATTAACCCCTTAAAAGGGCAGGATTCACCAACAGGTCCAAATTTTCATCTCTCACTCTTATAACACTGTAATAATCCAGCTTGTTTGCATTGTTTTCTATGCTATTACTGATTAATAACCCTTACAATGTGATAAGTCTGGGATTTTAAAGGGGTAAACTTCACTGTTACAATCTAATTACTGGGCTGGCTATAGTGCAACATAAAGGATAGAATGTTTAATTTATTTTAAAGAAAAAGAGGGCATAAACAATGAATTTGCACTGAAAAGACACACCATACAGGCCATTCTTCACTACGGCCTGTAATCATCTATGTTGTCTCCATCTGTAGTAATTGGAGGGGCTTGAATGTTGAGCCAGAAAGCCTTTGCGAGCTAATTAGTCAGGTCAGCGTTGCAGCCCAGGGGTCTGAGCAGTCTCATTTGTTCGCATTCCCACCGATGTTTGTCTGCGCTTGCCGTCCAAGCGCTTTCTCACCTCGTCCTCTTCAGTGCTAATTTGGGCTGATGTGTCCAAGCCTGGAAGAGCTCAGCATCTGAATCTGAGAGGCTGATGGTGCCTCACCTCGGTTTTAACCTGTGGGGGAGGCTGTCAGAGCTCTAATCAGGGGGCTGTTTCTCCATGCCTGAGCCGTTCGTACTCCAATGCTCCGTAAGAAAAGAACAGCAAACAAGATATTCATATGTGCAGCTTTAGACAGTGCTCACGGGACTTCAGCGGAAGGAGATTTGCCGCCATCTTTGACCTTTTCTAATATCAGCTGGCTGCAGCTGGAGTTCCACTACTATGATTGGCAGGTGAACGTTGCTTATGGGACTGAGTGGCAGGTGGATTTATATAGGTCCAATTTCCAGGTATGTCGATTGGAGGTGAAGGCTGAATGGCAAAGGGGCCAAGAGGAGTGATAGGTACAAGCAAATAAGCAAAGAAGCATAGAGGAGGTTTAAGGGCGAGTCAATTTAGTCTGCCTTTTTTCCATCCAGGGTTATAAACCTGCTCTGATAATCCCACCTTAGCCATTTGCTATTAAACACTCTTTGAACTGCTGAGTGTCATGGTTTTGCACTGCATGAGCTACGTGTCTCTTAGGCCTGCACAGTAATGCAATTATATTTCTAGATATTGTGATTGTGAAATACAGAGACCACCTATTACCAGTCAAAATTTTATTGATTTTTCAGCATCAAGGAAAAAAAGACCAAAAACATATATTTAAAAGTTTCTACTTTTTCCTTGATTGCAGATTCTATTCTACTTTCAGTTTTTCAAAGAAATCTGCAGGGATATTTTTCAACACAAAGTTCAGTCTTAGAGGTTGGTTGCATTTTCTGCTTCTCACAATTCAAGTAACCCCAAACACATGCAAGTGAAGTCAGGTTTCTTTAAATAGTGCTTTTTACAACAGGACAACAGGCTTTTTTACAAAAGCCAAGGATGACAGTGACAAGTAAAAAATTCTTTAGTAGAGAAAGCTTGAGAGGAACCAAGACTCAAAAGGGGAAGACATCCCCCTCTATAACTTGTACTTAATGGCTGTTTTGACTGGAAATTATACAAATGAAGGATGGTCTCTGAAGGCACAATACTGTCCCTTACAATATCCTAAACCCACTGGTCAGTCCTTAATGTAACATGGTTAATGATTGGCTTGCATTATTTTGACCAAAATTATTTACATGTATGGAATATATAGGAGTAGGTGTGGGTTTTGCTTTGAGGTTAGGGTTAGGGTTAGGAATAGGTTTAATTAAATGTTTCATACTAAACTTGAAGTTCAGTTGCATTAAATGGAAATTTAGTTGATGTTACTTAAATATAGACTTTACAAAGCATCTATAGTGGACCATCCAAATAAAGCGTTGTTGAGATTTTTTCAATTTAAAAAGCAGTGCATGTTGTTATAGCTGTACAATTGGACAAAATAAGCTTCCAACCAATGAGTGTATATATCATATATTCAGTCAATAGCTCATCTCCTCCATGATTAAAGCCTCTCAGACTTGTTCATACAGCTTGTGGATTCTTGTTACAGTGGAGGCTCTCAAGGGGAACTGGAGCTCCACTTTACTCCTGCAAGCAATGTCTAGCATAGTCTGCTGAAGGTAGAAATTTAATAGCTGTATTTGAACAAGAGGACTACAATCATGGTTAATATTGTAGCAACATACAATGCACTGCAGCTGGGCTTCAGCCTGAACTACTACAGTCAAACTAGGAAAATGTGTTCACAGCAGTGAAAAAAAAATAAGTGGCATTACCAGCCTATTCCACTATTAACGTTATTAGCATGTTATTAACATGTTATTAATGCCTTATTAACACCTTAACATTACCAGCCCTATTTTATTCATGAAAATTATTAAGAACTCATTGGAAATGTCTGTGATTGGTGAAGATGCTGACAGCACACATTAAAAACATTGTGATTGGATGCCTATTTCAGTCTTCTGCAATATCAGTAAAAGCCACAATATTGCAAAAGCCAGTAATGGTAAATGAACAATATATTGTGCAGTCTTTCTGTTAAGTGGGTTTTATGGAAGCAGTGAGTCAGTTATAGCAGAGTTACCCAATGCTGCTTAGGAGTCCCACCACTCTGCAGGTGGACTCCAGGAGCAGAAATGGAGGACACTGAGTTATAGGAGCACTTCAGGCAGCCCGTTTGATTACAGAAGAATCAAAGCTGCACCTGAGGCATCCGTAACCTTTCAGTAGCATGGGGCAGACGCTGTCTTTGAGTTATCTGTGCTCTGTGGCTGGGAAATCAGGAGTGTCCGACTCCTTTCACATCATCAGAGGACAGAAAAATGCTGAGCCTGGCCTTTTCCTTTGCAAAACCTTATTTGAGCTTCAGCACTATTAAAGTAGGATTTAGCCAGGGTCAGTGTTTTTTGAGTTATTTGAACTGAAATACTATTAAAACTAAAAATCAGTACGGGTATCCATTCCCCCTCTCCTCTCCACCCCCCAGGGTCATAAAGCAAAGTGAGAGGAACAGACGTCTCCAATTTCTACAAACTCTGACTGCTACTTTCATTCTGTGTCACCCGGGTTAGAAATTAAAGTTTAATTCACAGCTTGTGGCGTCAGGGTCAGAAGCAGCAAGATTTATAATAGCGCTTAATATTTAAGCAGGACAGAGACGACCCACTGCATATCACTGCCATTTTCATTTTGTATTAGAAAGAATGTAAAAAAAATGGTGGTTTTAAGTTAAAAGTAAGTTATCTGATTGTGTTTGATGTAATATATAGGTTAGAGTTTCAAAATGTACAGTTCACTCTCTAGTCTATCCATGCATTTGAAAAAATAGGCCATTTTGAATTTTCTGCATTTGTGATGTCACGAAAACGGACACATATCTGCCTATTCAACCTCAGTTTTGTCTTTAGCCATTCATACTGGTCATAAGAAGTGTTTCAGCCCAGAAAGCTTAATTTTTGTGGCATAACACAGAGCAGCCAATCAGAAGAGAGGTCGTTCACATATAGTACTGTAAGTTGGAGACCACTCTTGATTTATTTCATTTCCAGTTCATTTAAAAAAACAGAAATTACATAGGAGCCTCAAAACTCACTAATATCAGTTTTTAGAATTTATTTAGTATTCTTTCATTTATTCAAAGTGATTTTTCCACACCTCCAAAGTTCGGTCTTAGAAGTTGGTTGCATTTTCTGCAAGTAATATCAAACACTTTCAATGATCTTGTGGTCTTGATTTTCTGCTTCCTCACTCACATGGACTACTTTATATCTAATCTGCTGAAATATCACCTGAAAAATAAAGAACTTACGCTTAATGGCCATCTAAGGGAAATTAAATAAATGAAGAAGGGGGTCTCTGAGTTTTGCACTGTATAGCAGTATTAAAGCCACAGTAAAAACAGCCTGTTTGGTTAATGTAGATAAAAAGAGAGAGAAAAATGCTCAATTATGAATTTCAAAAGTTTTCAGTCGACCTCAGGTAGAAGGCTAAAAAGTAAAATATTTATTTATTTATTTATTTATTTATTTATATGAAGATGAAAAATTATGTTTTGAGTTCATATAATGTCTAATATTGAAGCAACAGAACAACATTCTTTGTTCTACATCTTATTAACTTATTTAAAGTTCAATAAAACCAAAATGTTAAGGCAGCCGGGTTACTTACCCTTTTAAATTAGAGCAATAATATATATATATATTTAACAGTGTGTGGTATTAAGAGTTTCCAGATTTAGACTGTGATAACTGTGTGAAGAAAGAAAAACAGTAACACATACTTAAAGAGAAAGTGCAGCTTGTAGATTCTGCAAAAATTAGAGAAACCACAAAGAAAAGACATCTTTGAGCACCAAACTTACAGAAGCAGCAAAACTGCTTTTCCATTACTTTTCATATTGGGGGATGAAATCCGCTGTTGAACTGGAGGGTAATTGAGATAGCAATCATCGTGCATATCGCAAATTAGTATTCAAGGGAGTTTATTTAATCCATTTAAGATAAAGAGCTCACAAAGGCAAGGTCACTCACTCCAGATCGAACAATTTAATTCATTCCCTCCTAATTTTAATTAATATCTTAGGAGTGATGGCAGACAAGCATGCGGACTCATTTCTGGGAGTTCTTTTCAGTAGTTGAGAGCTGGCAGCCTATATATCATCAGCACCGTTGCTGAGTCACTCTGTTTTATTTGAGTGGTCACGCATGCCTGTTCTTCCTTTGTTAACATGCCTGGACTGTTATGCATTATGCTATCGTTGCACCACAATCAGATTAGCCTTGCTCTGTAATTAATGTTGACTTAATGAATTGCTCTGCTCACCACACAAGTGCTATGAAGGAATCACCCGGAGTTATGCACCGTATTAACGCTCTTGTCTCTTGTTTATTTTCCCAGAATGAATACACGTGTCCCAGGCCGCTCCCTGGAGCCTGGATTGGCGACATCCCCACCATTCACTAGGAATGTTTTCCCCACCAATGAGATTTCAATAGGCAACAGGGTTCCAGCCTACAGCCTCTCCATCCATCACTCTACGGCCTACGCTGCCATTTTTTTCTCTTTTCCCCATCATTTATGGAACGTTATCCACCACGGACATGTGAAGGGACATCTAAAAAGACAGCAGGAACGCCTCCATCATGCATTTTACTAACACGCACGTCACATTTCTTCAAGACGCCTCACTTTATTCACTCTCTTTTTTGCCTAGACAGCTCTTTCTCTAGTTCTGAGCCTGACTAGGCCTTTGGTCGAGTTGAACACACAGGAACAGGATGAACTATTCTATTCTACAAACAAAGCCACTGTAACAGCAATGAGAGAGCATGGGAAGATATCTCCTGGACTTTGAGGAATATTATCAACATCAGAGCGAATGGATTTTCCATATGACAAAACATCATCCATCAGACGACCATTGACTGCCGGTCAACTGATACATTAAGCCTATTGCTGGACTTAACTTATGTGGTTGCACTTTATTTGAGGGCTACCTACCTAGGGACTTTATAACACACTGATAAGCATTGAATAACGTGTTTATAAAGTAATGTTTGAGTATTTATAAGCAGCTGATGTGAGTAATCGCAGAATGTGTTGACACCATGTTGACATAAGGGGTCTTAAACTATTGTAATGGATGTTTTTCTCCATTTGTACCATTGTTATGGAGTATCATTCCCAAATAATGGATCTTAAATGCCAAGACCACTGTTTATGAGTTAGATATTTCTTCTTGAAGTTCAATGGTACAATTTCTATAAAGAAGACCAGTATGGCTACAGATACTAACTCCTTAGTAGAATTTGTTCATTCAAATAAAACAATCATTCAAAGCACTTTTACTGATACTAAAGTGCATTTAAAAGCAAGTAATTTTGCAGTTTTGCACTTAAGTAGAAATACAGACAGAATATTATATTAGATTATATGTCTAATATTATAACTACATTTACTCAAGTACAGTAGTTTTGTACATATATGTACACTACATGGCCAAAAGTATGTGGGCACCTGACCATCAAACCTCTGTGAGCTTGTTGTACATCCAATTCCAAAACAATGGTTATTCTTATGGACTTGCTCCCTTTCTTTGCAGCTATAACAGCCTCCACTCTTCTTGCAAGGCTTTCTACAAGATTTTGGAGGCTGTCTGTGGGAATTTGTGCCCATTCAGTTGACGGGGTTGTGGTCAGGGGTCTGTGCAGGCCACTTTAATTACTCCAAGCCAAACTTGTCAAACCATGGCTTTGTAGACCTTGCTTTGTGCAGAGGGACACAGCCATGCTGGAACAGGAAAGGGCCTTCCCCAAACTGTTCTCACAAAGTTAGAAGCATATTATTGTCTGAAATGTCTTTGTATGCTGTGGAATTATTAACTTCACTGGAACTAAAGGGGCCCAAACCTGGAAAAACAGACCCAGACCATTCCCCTGCACCAAACTTTTCTACTGGCACTATGCATTCTGGTAGGTAGTGTTCTCCTGGCATCCACCAAACCCAGATTCATCCATCAAACTGCCAGACAGTGAAGTGTGATTCATCACTCCATAGAACACGTTTCCACTGGCAGCATTTTTTACATCACTCAAGCCAATGCTTGGCATTTGCATAGTGATCTTAGGATGGTGGGTTGCTGCTCGGCCATGGAGACCCATTTCATGAAGGTCCCGATGCACAGTTCTTGTGCTGATGTTGCTTTAAAAGGCAGTTCGGATCTCTGTGGTGAGTGATGCAACAGAAGATTCAGCACTTGGTGGCCCCACTCTGTGAGTTTGCATGGTATATTGCTTGTGGATGTTGTTCCCAAAAACTTCTATTTCACAATAATAGCACTTACAGTTGACTGGGGCAGATCTAACAGGGCAGAAATTTCACAAATTGAAAAGATGACAGTGCCACGTATAAAGTCAATGGGCCTTATTCACCAATAGCTTCCTAAGTTTTTTTCTTAAATTTGTTCTTGAGAAAGGTTCTAAGAAAAAGTCTACATCAGATTCATGACGTGTTCTTAAACCGCAAAACTGTTCACACGTTTGTGCTCTTGAGTGTGTGTAGATTCTGTTCTTATCTAAGAACAAATCCAAATAAGAAAACATTATCAAATGTGAGAATCTTTGTAAAAACTGTAAGTGTGTTTTAAAAGTAAATTTCATCTTAAAACAGTCAGTGAATGAGGCGCAATGACCTGTTGAGTACGACCCATTCTACTGTCAATGTTTGTCAATGTGATTTTATACCGCTGTACCAGTGGGTATGGCTGAAACACCTGAACATTGTCATTGTCATCCTGCGATTGCTGGCATAAGCTGTTTATAAATATTCAAGTATTTCTTTATAAGTATGTTATTCACTGCTTATGGGTGTGTTATAAGGTCCCTATGTAGGCAGCCTTCAAATGACGTGCTACCACTTATCCTTTGTTTTAACGCCATGCCTCAGCAATCTTGTGTATCGGAGCTATTAATATTCCAAATGACTTTGCGATAAGCCCCTTATCTTTGCTGCCTAAAACCGGATTTTTTTAACTTTTTGTTGTATTTTTTTTCTGCATACCTCTCTCTCCGTGCCGTGTGATTCGAGGACAGCTGATTACTGTTTACATAACCTTCTCGCTATTCGCTCAGCATTAACAGAGAGGTCACGGACACTGCACTTCTCCGACTTCATCGCACTGACTCCAAATTCAATGTGTACGTGTGTCTGTACATACTTGCTTAAGGGAGAGGAGGTGAAGACTCGTGTGCATGAGGTTAGGATCTCAGCACTGTTTGTGATGGCATAATAGGGCATATTGTATGAAATAATGTTTTTGGTTTGTTTGTTTTATGAGCTTCTTTAAAAATGTATTCAGTGTTGCGTGTGTATGTGTGTGTGTGTGTGTGTGTGAAAGGTCAGAATGAGTGTGAAAGGTTGAATGTGTTTTGCTTACATTAAGATTTGACCTTAAGCTCAGACATAGCCTGTCACTTTAAAATAGAGGTTTTGTAATTTCTATTCACGCTCCTCCCCTTATAATTTAATAATTAAATTTTGTAATGAACTGTATAAATTGTACACCGCTAATATGTTCTGTTTTATAATGGGAATACTGTCAAATCAATGGTGAGAAATATACGTTTGTCAAATGGAAATGAGTATTGATGAGTTTTAATGATTTTTAACCAACAAATTAAAAAATACAGAGGGACTCACAGGCACGGATCATTCCATTACCCCAGGGACTCGAGCCCTAAAGTAGCTGCTTTGACTCACTGTGGGAACTTTACTAGCATCCGGAGAAGACTTATACAGTTTACCATATACGCTAATTGGCCACCTCCTTACATCTAAACTCTATGTTTATTTTTTAGCTCCACTGACCATATAGGAGCACTTTGTAGTTCTACAGTTACAGACTGTTGTCCATCTGTTTCTCTGCGTACTTTGTTTGCTCCCTTTACCTTGTTCTTCAATGGTCAGGACCCCCACAGGACCACCACAGAGCAGGTATTATTTTGGTGGCGGATCACTCTCAGCACTGCAGTGACACTGACTGTGGTGGTGGTGTGTTAGTGTGTGCTGTGCTAGTATGAGTGGGTCAGACACAGCAGTGCTGCTGGAGTTTTTAAACACTGTGTCCACTCACTGTCCACTCTATTAGACACTCCTACCTTGTTGACCCACCTTGTAGATAAAGTCAGAGACAACAGTTTGTGCCGGTCATTCTCTAGTCCTTCATCAGTGGTTACAGAACACTGCTGGCTGGTGGCAGTATGCTCTAGCATAGGATGGTTAAGTTTTTAATTTGCTGTTGTATTTCTCATCTTTATTGTTGCATCTCAGCTGTCTGACATAACATATATGCACATTAATACAGTTTAAATTTCAAATAAATTACAGATGACAGTGGGCTACAAGTATTTCATTCAAGAGGCTTGTTTCTAGAACTGTTTATGTGAGCAGACTAACTGAAGTAGAATATAATATATTTGAAATTCATAATGCTTCATAGACACATGTGGGCTTCAAGTTTTGCGAGGGGATCATGGAGTGCGGGCGGAGATTTAGATATACAGTAAGTTGATACAAGCTGACTTACAGCTTGGCTGAAACATTCAATGTTTTGCTGTAATTTAATCCAGAAAAAGTGGCATCACAGGAGCAAATGTCAGAAAAAATAGGTCACATTACATAGATGTTATGTCAACTTGACATCAGAATTGACAAAAGCAACCTTTATAACAGACGATGCATATTAGAAAAAGAGTATTCAACATCCAAGAACTTTAAAGGTGTTGGTTTTCATGGGACATTCTGTAGCCTATGTGCTATAATTGCTTTAGTACATTTAGTTCACTGAAACTGGTTTTATTTATTCTAGTTTTCTCAATTTTCTGTTTTGTTTTATAGGCCGATGTGTCCTGAATTTTGTTTTTTTGTTTTTTTTTTTGGCCAAGAATTTTCACTTTGATGCAGATGCTAATTGGTGGGCTACTTCTTAGCTACATCAGCTGCCAAGTGCCAAAAAGAAGCAGTCTCCAGACACCAAACATGTTTTGGCTAATCACCTACATCTACATAAATTAATGTAAATGCAATTTTTTGCCAAACTATGCCTTTAAGTAAATAATGCAAGTAATGCATCTTTCCCGCAGGACTGCTGACAAGCTAAACTCCTTTTGAAAGAATATTCAAGCCCATATGATGGTTTTTCTTGTGTGGTTTGTGAACGTCGTGACTAAAGCACACTGTCATATGTATATTTTGAGCAATTTGGCCCAAGACTTGTGAAAGACTCCTGATGAGCAGATTTAGAAACAACAACATAAGCTGCATGTGGTTTAGAGTGACTCAATATTTGCAAGACTCTTGAAAATCTTTAAATGTATTAATGAAATGAAAGACTGAAATGAAAAGGTTCTACTCGTACAAGAAGGTTGGAGTCCTTTATGTAAGAAACAATGGGAGCAGAGAGTTGAATTTTCCCAAGTAGGGAGGGAAAATGTGGGAGTCAAATCCAGTGTAAGAGGAGGAAGTGCATCCCACAATGACTTGCAAACACATTTGTACAATCCTGCAGAAGGTGTTACATGATAGTTCATGGCACAGAAGTCTTAGCCATAATTGTATCCAAGCAAAAATAGATTTTGTAGTTCAGTTTGGCTTAAAAAAATGATATAAATGACAAGCCTCTTCGGTTTATCAGGCTTCTGTCACATGGGGCACACCTGGGATCAAACCCAAAGCCCTAAGGTTGTTAGTCAGTAGCAAAAGAAAGCGATAACATTACCTCTATCGGGTGAACGCACATTGGTGCATAAAATAACCAGCAGTCAGGAACTGGGGCATTTCGGTTCTGGTTTATGTCCAAATGGCAACATGTGGATGAGAGAGTCTGGTAGGGTTTGTTGCTCAATGTGTTTACTTTGACCAGAAACAGCCTTTTGAGTGACATGCA